TTAGATGTACATACGGCTATGTGAAAATTATTATAAATTGACTGGTATGCGGCATTATTATTATGTTGTATAATAAAAAATGCGACTGCGTAAAAAGCTTGATAAAGAGAAGCGAAAAGCTAACGAAGGAAAATAGTATTATGCCTTTGGCGCCTGAAATTCGCTATTTTTATTTTTAATAATATCTATTATCCATACACGCGTTATAAAGAAGAATAAAAATGAATCCAACGACGCGACGCAACGTTTGAATCATTAAAATCGGTGTAGCCGTTTGAAGCCGTTTACTAATAACGAGGGAACATAGGACCCGACATATATACATAAATAGATACAAGCATACATATAGGTCAAGCACATAATACCATTTGGGCTTCGCCGCAGTCGGGTAAAATGCCAGCCAGTCAGCTCTTCTCAGCAGAACTGCCTTCCTCACGAACAGACTGCATTAATTCTTTAAATTAAATTGATCGCTCCAAGTGCTTATAAAAGTCTAAGTGGATAAGGAACATTTTGATTTACTTTCATTTTGTGACCATTTGTCTACTTAAGTATATAATTCTGCTTGTTGAAGGAATTTACATGAAGAAAAATTGAAATAGAATTCATTAATAATATTATGTAGTAGTAGTGTAATACTTACATAGATTTATGCGAATATTTGATATTTTTAGCCGACGTAAAAAAGGGAGGAGGTTATATTATATTGTATGGTATATTTTTTTATGTTTAACAACGCACCATTTTATACAGTGTAGCATAATTTCGATTATTCATTTTTCTTTTTTATTGAATAGGGTATACCTCAAAGTTGGTTCCATTTAAATTGGAAAAAAAATCACCCCTATATCTAGAAAATAGGGTATTATTAATTTTTCAACTACTGAATTTTTATGACATACATTCTTCTTACTTTGCTACTACTATGTGTACACTAAAACTAGAAAAATAAAAACTTGCAAAAAAAACGACTTCGAAAAAAACCCCACTAAAAAGTAAAAAATAACTGATTAGTAGTTTTAATTTACTATATAGGTACCTAATCAGATATTATCGAAGTTGGTGCCAGCTGATACAAATTAAAGCACACCGACTTTTTAGTGTTTTTTTTTAAATAGTTTTTATAAATTAAAAAGTTTCAGTTTTTTTTTATTGTTTCATTACCCATGAGTTGTAGATGTTTTTTCTCATTAACGAAATCGTAAGAGTCTCTTGCGAACGCTGTTGTTTGTCCTCTGAGTATTGAGAGTACTTTCACTACTAGTTGGGCCAATTTATAAGTCAATCGATTTGACTTACATTTGGACGTAGCGGAGCGTTTGGTTTGTGTATTTTCGGAAGTCTATATAGTTATAAGGAGGCTTTGCACAAGGTGGAATAATATTATTATCATCTAGATTCAATGCATCGGAATGTTTTTTAATTGACTTTTAAGTATTGCTTAACACAGTAGAAGTCTGTTTTGACCTTTTTATATGTCCATACTTTCGTCCGACAAAGGCTATTTTATTTTGTCATTGTAATCTGACGTGTTCATTGCAATGGTATCATTTGCCTTATCCCATCGGCTCTTATACCGTTGTAAACCAAAAATTTAAATAATCCGCAAAAAAATAAACCGAAAACATAGTTTCATTCAAAATATACATGTACACTAGAGTAACTGATTGATTGACATGTAGAAGCTCAAGAGTACTTTTCATTACTACATCAAGTAGGATTTCCCATAGGACATTATTACTAAAACTCAATAGTGTATCACTCGCTATAGTTGACATTTTTACCTCTCAATAAAAAGATTTGTCTTAGCCAAGAAGAAAAAAATAGTTTAAATAAATTAATGGTAAAAAAATAATTTTTAAAAACAAGTTTTTATTTAAATGCTCTAAAATAGAGAAAAAAAACTTTAAATTAAATCAAACCCAAAAATTCATTACATAACACAATCTATGTGATATAAAAGCTTGTCACGAGATTTACCTATTTTAAATATTATATTCTTGTTTATCTACACAGGTTTTGGATTGGATTATTATTATTTTTTTGTTTTATTAGTATTCTTCTCATTGAGCCCTTTCATTTGATTTCCATATATATCTATAACTTCCGCCATATTGAATTAAAAACGGCGGCATTTAGGTAAGCGAGCATTGTATTGGAAACCAAAATAGTTTGCTAAATTTCAGCCCAATCAGAAACTGGAAAGTGGATCAAATTTTACTTGCAAGATTTAATTACACAGACCGGGACAGGTGAAACTAAATAAAAGCTTCTAAAGAACAAAATAACACGCTTTCGACTCATACCTATAATTTAATACTTGTTCAAAGGGATCCAATTAGCCAAACCTTCAGGGTTTATAATAAAAGTCGTATAGCAATTCAAGATCTCCACAATTAACTCCTATTTTCGTTAAGAGATGCTCAATGAATTAAAATACATCATCTACTTTAATCCGGATTCCTCATACAATGGTTCAAATCGATACAACAGTCAGACATATTGATTGAAATATTTGTTTAATATATATAAATATTCTACGTAAAAAAAGACTAAATATAAGAATATTACAAAATATCTTTATGGTAAATACGAATATTTACCTTGAACGACAATCGAATTTACAATAACTATAGACGAAGTTAGTTGTCCCAGAACTACATCATTATGCATAATGCCTTTTCTAGGACATATGCAGCGCTGACTCTTTAATGTTAATCCCTCGTTATATTAGCTAGATGTGCAGATCCTAGGGTTGAAGGTCGAGCAAAGTATACTTAAAAGATTTTTTGCAAAGAATTTTTTCACATGCTATTTTACGTGCTCAATTTTATTCTCTTTAATTCGTTGTGTATATAACATTGTAGAATCTATTGTTAAAATGAATTGGTTTTCGATATCTATATATAAATAAATCTATTTTGATTCTCTACTTTAAAATGTCATTCTAGCTCTAACCTTCTGGTTAGAGTAAGAATCGTGACATTGGCCAAGTAAATTGTGCCCAAATGGCACTCCTAGAAGCCACAAAATAAAAGAAATGAATTGCATAGAGTACCTAAGTATGATATGTGTGTCTTTTGACTATGCGTATGTCGTTATAGCGAGACGTAATAATAGTCAGACAATTTAACTATTCCATCATATCTTTAATTAAAAATTATTTTATTATAGTATTTCGAATGTTGCCTAGATAAGTAGTTTGTGTACAATTTAGAATTTTCAGGTCGAGTGCTTTTGCATGTTGCAAGTGAGTGGGTTTTAGTAAAATGGATGCCACACGAGGGGTCGTAAATCTTAAAATGGCGACGGGTCGTCCCTGGACAGTCATCTTTGAAAGTTCATTGTAGTAATTTAACCTTGATATTATATTAAGCCTTATGTAAAGGGGATACGGTTGCTTAGAGATAAATGGAATACATAGAAAGGTCATACTTTATTATTGGCATCATGTAAAAAGGGCTCTAAGAACACTTTGATTTAATAGTTCTAGGTATTAGGACCCGGTCTCCTAATAACTGTAGTATAAAGTAAGATATAAACATTAAATATAATTTGTAAGTCGGTAAAATTAGGTAACAACTGATAGAATCTTGTTAATATTTGATAATTATTATTGGAAACTATATTTACATATTATCATACTACTACTTTGAATGCGAAGGTTTGTATGTATGTACAGGTTTATTATTCCTTCAAGTGGAAACAGCCAACAGATTTTGATGTATTTTAGTACATAGATAAGATTTTGATCAGGTGTAAAACATAGGCTACTTTAAAAAAATCAAGCGTTGCCTGTACATAATATTACACAACAGAACTATTAGGGACGCATCCAAGCGAAGCCAGTGGAGTCGCTAGTTTTACTACAATTTTGAGGAGTTTATAATTTAAAGCTAAACGTCAATAAACTTTTATATTTATTCACCCAAAAAAACAACAAAACTAAGCAATATGCAATTTTAAATAAAGATCTCAATCAAAACAAAATCTGCATAGTCATAACGGTAACTCAAAAAATTCTAAACAGAAGCAGGGAGCGTAAAATTGGCGCAGATTCATTTTAAATTTCGCACGACCAAATACCACGCTTGAGTTGGTCCGAATCTGTTGGTCCGAACTCGGGGCGATATATCACGGTGTTTTGACAAACACTATTGTATTTCTGACAGTGGAACTCGTTTCGTTTACCCGGGCTAACGGGGTCAGACATACTAAAATTTGCGTTGCTTAGCTTTAGCAAAAATCGCTCTCTACTACTCTCAAACACTTGGATGCTATTTGGCTAATTAAACTTAACTCATTTAATCAAATGGAGTCAGACATTGTTTATAGAGGTTGGTCTCTCAAAAAGACCAGTCCTTTTAAATTTAAAGTTTTTGTGTTCCATTCATTGCCATTTTCGTTTGGACTTCAAACTTCTTACTTGTGAAACTAAAAAGCGTTGCACCATAGGTTCTTCGAAACTTTTTCAGCGCAGGCAAAAGTCTAACAGCGAATCTTTTCACCATTTCAAAAGCCTCTGTGACGGGGCTCCTTTGAATTTCACCTAAACACTAGACAAAGTTCGTCGCTGCAATGGCACAGGCTAAAAGCAGATTACCATCAGTAATTAAAACGTGGGTGCAATAATGACGCTGTACCGCATGTTAGATTTCGGTGACATACAGATATACGGAAAGAGAAATTATTAATATATCCTAAACTAATAATACAATCAATGTTGAATGAACTATTTCATAATTTATCGCTATGAGATCGTCGGTATGAGATGTTATTTTGTTATAGCTGTAGCAGCTGTAGTTATTGACCAAGAGGAATGTTTCAGGAAAATAGCATTCAAATACCGAATAAATGGGTTCATTTCTAAATGAAATAGCCAGATTATTAAATTTTATACCTGCACAAAAATACAAAATTAATTAGTAATTTGCCATAAAAATAATATAATTATGTATACACTTGCGTCTAAAACAAAGTTTTGCAACATTTCGTACAGTATGCACCGCGCTAAGCTTGCTTTATTGTCAGAAGACGCCTGTAGCACTTTCAGCGCCATGAAAGCCGATATCCCGACAAAGGACATCAGCGCTTTAGCCGAAACGAGAAAAGGTCCCAAAGCTGTATTTAGGGTAACTCTCCACCAAAACTAGCTTCATATAGCGTTGGTTAATTAAGTGATTCGCTACCTAATTAATTACTAGTTTCATCACTGAGATCTTCTGAAAATATAAGGCAACGGGTAAAGGAAATCTATACTAATATTATAAATGTGAAAGTTTGTGAGGATAGATGGATTGATGTTTGTTTCTCTTTAACACCAGAACGGATTTAGATGAAATTCGGCACAAAGATAGATTATAGTTTGTAATAGCGCATAGGTAAATTTTTATCCCGGAAAAATCAAAGATTCCCGTGGTATAGATTAATTTTTGTTTTTCACAGAGTTTTCTATTCCATATTAACCGTATCAACGTATCTACTAACAAATCTAAGCGAAGCGAGGGTGAGTCGCTAGTATGGAATAAAATATACAGGTCTACTATTATACTGATTATAAGTTATTGTAGATTAATGAATTTAAATACATTTGCATTACGGTGAAGGAAAAAATTGTGAGGAAACCTGCATGTCCGAGAAAACCTAGCAATTTTTCGACTCAGTCCGAGTCCACTAACCCGCACTTGGCCGGCGTGGTGGACCATGGCCTGATCTGATAACCTCGTATTGAAGGGAGGCCCGTGCCCAGCAGTGGATTGCATTCAATGTTTATACCTTTTACCTAATTTCTCTGATGGATGATTTTCTTTTATTGGAATTTATAGGGGAAGGTCCTTGAAAACCATTAAAATCGATTTACAATTGCCGAAAATATCCCACAAAGTAAACAAAAAAAAGTTGTATACACAATATTGCCATAAAATTGTTACGTTGTTGTAATGTCACAAATTACATAATAATATACTAGTGCGATATACGAGTATATAAGCAAAGTTAATTTAATTGTCGCGTTGTATCGCATTACACGTCCGTTGTGTGACCAACCTAATTTACGCGAAGAGCAAAGGTTCTTTCTGCATGCTAGTGACAAAGTAGCTAATATTCCTTTTCAGCAAAATGTTTTATCGCCAGTTCAGTTATTTAATATAAATTTATTATCATACTTACTTTTAAAAATTTTGTAAGATATTTAAGTGCTCATATATTTTTGATCGACATCATAATGGAAACGGTATTCAATTCGGTCGTGAAATAATATTAATATTTTGTTGTTTGGCTATTCGATATATTCGCTCATTGGGAATTAATTTTCATATTTTTAAAAGAATAGGGTATACCTCAAGGGCGGTCTTAAATTTCAAAAAAAAAATCACACCCAATAGCAAAATAAATTACTTTCTAAGTATTTTAAGGCGGTGCACTTTGTTTAGAGTTCATATTTGCGAGATGTGAGCATAGTATAGTACAATAATAATACCTTATTTTCTGAAAAAAATCTTTACACTTGTGAATTAGCATTTGTATCTTATTTAAGTTTTACATAAAAAATAGTATTAATCGGATGCCTCTGTTGCCGTACTAGGAAGCCTGTGTTACGATATACAGCGCCCATTCCTCAAACATTGGCAAGAATACTAATATAAAACTAAATAAATAGGCAAAAAATTTGTACATGTATAATTACTGTTTATTTATTTATTTTATAAAATTTATGAGAAGGACATAAAGTACATTTCTGTGCGTGCATGCGTGCGTGCGTATGTGTGTTTATGTGTGTGTGTACGTTATGTATATGTAATGGTTGTCATAGTATTACACATACATATGTACGAATATACCTACATTTAGGTACAATAACAGAAACCGCACAACTAATTCACTCGACTCGAATATTAGCTGACAGATGAGTCCCCTCTTCTGGAGGCGTTGACAATAATTATGATATAAGGAAACGAAATGACCCAAGAACAGAAAATCGACTTCAGACGAAGCGTGTCTAACAAACTAATTATACCAACTGTGTTATTATTATTATATTATTATGACTTTTTGCTGGGACTTGAATTACGGGAAATATTTTCTTCATTTTTATGATGAGCTTTGGTTTATGAATTTATTGCGATTTTGAATTTTTATAATTTTGGCGAGGCAGTAATTTTTATATTTATTTTATATTTAATAAATCAATTTGATTTGTTATCTTTTTATTCTAGATACATGACATACAGTGCGTCAGAGAAGTTCGCAAAGCAAGTGGGCGATCTTCCAACAGCATGATGGGCTACAGCTAGTTTAGGAAGAAAATTCTTCAAAACGATTTTTTTCGAAAAGGAACATTTTTCGCTACGCTGGGGTAAACACCACACTTTTTATTTATTTTTTCTAAAATAAAAGTAATCTAAGTTACTCTTTTTAAAATCAGCTATCTGCCAGTGAAAGTCCCATCAAAATCAGTCCAGCCATTTTGAAGATTAGCTGGAACAAACAAACAAACAAAAATTTAAAAAAATGAGTTTTTCTTATAAATACCGTATATAATTTCATATGCATTTAGTAAAACGATGTTATTTTGATACTAACGGCTCACTCTCGTTTTCGCTCGGGTTCGTCGCTAGGTACGTTTTAAATAGATATAAATGGTTATTAGCCAGCGTTAGCCATATAAATTTTAATATTTTTTGTTAATAATATAGACAAATATTGACATTAATATTTATACGATACTAACGTCACTCAATTGTTTTGCCTTCTCGGAACCTCTCCACTAACATAAACTTTATGGTATGGTATTGAAGTTCAAATTGACTTTTGAGTATTATTACGAATCTTCTGTATGGGAGTATAGAAAAGTGTTGTTTTTAGACTTTTTTAGGCAATTTTTTAATTTTTTTCTCCATAAAAACCATCCTCGTACTTCAATAAATATTCTAAAAAAAGAATTAGCGAAATCGGTTCAGCTGCTCTCGAGATTTGCGCTTAGCAACACATTCAGCGATTCATTTTTATATTATAGAAGATTACAAAGAGATACTTCAATTTATTTTATCTGTATAGATTAATTACCACAATGCTTTGTATTAGAAGTTATAATAGATTTATATAATTAATTTAGTAGGTATAATAGAAATAATATTAATTACAGGAATATCTAATTTAATAAAACATTAACTATGTGTTTAGAAATAATACGCCAGAGGTTACCAACATTATAATATATTGTTTATATTTTAATTGGCTTAGCAATGAATTACAATAAAATAATACTAATTAATTATACTGTGTTTACGAGTATAAACCGTCACTTACATGCTCTTTTGTGTTATCAAAGCAAATACTTCTTAATTTTAAACAAAATGTTTATTTCTTCTGAATATTTATTCTAATAATTTTATATGAATCAGGTATTTTAATTACCGTTTAGTCCTTAAGTATGGTCTCTACATATCCTTATAGGGAATTTATATAAATGCATACAGAATAACCTTATGCTGTATTTATTGGTTCAGCTAATTGAAACAAAACTTTATTATTTACTATAAAACACATAATTCCATACTAATATTATAAATGTGAAAGTTTGTGAGGATGGATCGATGTTTGTTACTCTTTCACGCCAGAAAGGTTGAACAGATGAAATTTGGCATAGAGATAGTCTGGAATGGCACATAAATTACATTTTATCCCGGAAAAATGTGCGGTTCCCATGGGATATTTTGTTTTTGTCTAGGGACTAACCCGATATTGCATCAAAGTGTATTGTGAAATTAAGAAAAAATAAGCAAACCGGTAGATACTTGTTAGATAATAAAAGATAGAATACTTTATTTTTTGCATTCTACAGGTTGATTTATTGTGTTCAACATTTCGACGGCTCGGAAGTAATAGAGCATTCTAAACCAAAGTTAATTTAATAGGTATTGGAAAATATCGAATTGTATCGTCTGGGTGATAAATGGAGTAATGAACGTTTATTTGCTGACTTCGATAAGGACGAATTCAATTCAGTGGCATTTTTTATTTGTAAAATGTTCGTCGAAGAACCAATTTTAAAGAAAAATTTTTGTTTAATAAATTGTTTGTTTTATATCTGTATATATCAGTAATTCAAAGAAAACTATTCTAAGTATATTTTTTTTTTATTCTAATTTTGGGAATATGTTATGTCATAACTATTCTTTTCAATATGGCTTACCTCATGAGTAGTCTGTGTTAAATTTAAACAATTTCAACCCCGAGGAAAGAATTAGATTACTGAAAATTGATATTAAAGTCAAAGTAACTTTTAGTAACAAAGGCAGTGGGTAGCTCAGTGGTAACGCGCTCGTTTGGGAAACCGAGTGAAGCGGGTTCAATCCCGGGTCTAGCACCTATGATATTTTCATGAGCGAATCATTTCTAACATTATTACCACTTACCTTACGTTAAAACCTGCATGTCTGAGAGAATCTAGCAAGTTTTCGAAACACATGTGAAGTCGGCCAACCCGCACTTGGCCAGCGTGGTGGTCTATGGCCTGATCCCCCCCATATTTAAGGGATGCCCGTGCCCACCAGTAGGACGTTAATAAAAACTTTTTAACAAAAAAATAAAAACCGACTTCAAAAAAAAGCACTAAAAAGTAAAAAATAACTGATTGGTAGTTTTCATTTACTATACATACCTAATCAAATATTTTCGAAGTCGGTGTGCTTTGCTTTGTATGGGCTGGCACCGATTTCGAAAATATTTGATTAGGTATGTATTTAATAGGTAGGCTTTAATTACTTAGCCAAAGCACACCGACTTCGAAAATATTTGATTAGGTATGTATAGTAAATGAAAACTACCAATCAGTTATTTTTTACTTTTTAGTGCTTTTTTTTGAAGTCGGTTTTTATTTTTTTGTTAAAAAGTTTTTATTTTTCTCTTTTTAGTGTAGACAGTAGTAGCAAAGTAAGGATTCTAACGTGTTAGGCTTGTCAAATCAAACAAAATAAGCCCAAACTCAAAGTATCTACTATTAGCCGTTGAAGAGTTCCACCTATCCACCTTCTGGCCTTGCCATCAGATCAGGTCAACAACACCGAACCACTGTACTATCAACGGAAATAGAAATACTCGCAAAGTTTCAAGTCAATATGACAATTAGAAGTAGGTTAAATTCATCATTAGTTGTTTTTCCACCCTTAGGGGTGGTATTTTTTTTTGAAATTTAAATGGGACCAATCTGGAAGTATACCCTTTCAAACAAAACAAAAATTGTCCAAATCGGTTAATAAATGACGGAGTTCTGAGGTAACAAACATAAAAAAAAAAAAAAAAAAAAAAAAACATACAGTCGAATTGAGAACCTCCTCCTTTTTGAAGTCGGTTGAAAAGGGCTGAATACAATTTTTAGGTAGAATAAATACAAAAACCACATATTCGGATATTCTTCAGTAATAATTTTTAAATTAATCTAAATATAAAGATTTCATTATTAATCTTACCTATATTCAAGTGGACCATCGATGCATTTTTTGTAAATATGAGAAAATAATGTAGAATATGTAGATGAAAACTACAAATGTTATCGGAAATCGTCTTATAAAGCAATTAAAAAGTTTGTACGTGACTTTCTCGCTTAGTAACGCGCAGCGTAGCGCTGAAACTAGAAACAAATACGTAACACTCCTACGCGGACATGACTTGTACTAAAATTGCTAAAAGTATACTAAACGTTTTAGTAAAGAAATGACAATTTTTTACCTTTATATTTTACATAGTAGTTTGAGAAACGTAATTTAATTTAATACCGTTGAAAGAACGCAGCTTGTCTGTTGCTTCCCTTATTGCACTATTTTGGTATTCTCACTATAGTACATAAAGACATAGTGTATAATTTATATATTGTGTTTTTTTCTATTTTCTCGTGTTAATTTAACTGTTATTTACTGTTTTTAAATTCTTGTAAATACCATGATTTACAATAATGAAAGAAGGTTTTATTAAATCTACCGTTAAAAAGGTAAGAGATTATGAGTTTATAATTTATCTGAATAGAAAACAACTGAGGAGTGTATGACGACGATTGAGTTAGAAATTGAGTCTAATCGTTTGTAAAACTTCTAAGAAATAGCCCACTTCTTCTATGACAATTACTGTATTAAGAAATAGTATTCTATAAGCATTCTACACTAATCTTCTTATAAATAAAAATGAATGGCTAAATGTATTGCTAAGCGCAAAACTCGAGAACGGCTGGACTAAATCATATTTTTTTCAAATATTCGTTGAAGTCTGACTAAAGTTCTTATAAAGAGAAAAATTGAAAAAATTCACTGTAAAAATCACGTTTTCTTTACTTTATAATTTTAAACGCAATCTTAAAATTAATATAGCTTATGTTACTTGAATGCATTTGTAGATTTGACACTTTTTTTTCTATACATATACCTAGACATAGGTAAATTTTTACCGTGGGAGATTATCTCATTCTCACAGGAAAACACGTTATAATACAACCTACAACAACTCATCCTACCTATGTATTTATATAATATATAGTCTGTCTATTTTATACTAACAATTAAAACATACCTAGAAACAAACCCGAACGAAGCGAGAGTGAGTCAGCTAGTAGGTATGTAAATAAAAGTATCACTGTAGTTGTGCGACTTACCCTGGCTTCACTCGATTGTGTCGCCTGGTGCCTTTTATATCTAGTTACCATATTATATACTGGCAATACAATCTTTGGCAAATTTTATCTATAATACTAACTTTAGTATGTAGTAGGTATATATTACTCATAGTTTATTTGTGTCTCAATTTTCATCCAAATCTATCTAGCCGTTCCAGCGTTTCCAGCATCAGTCGATTCCATCCGTCAGTTTCAACGTAAAGGAGCAAACAAACAAACTCACACACATACGTTGCCACGTTACATTTTCGTATATATATGATATAATATTATTAATACTTCTGCTTCGTCCTCGATATTAGCACATATTATATGTTTGTAGTATCGCGCAGTGATACGCCAAACTGGCTGTATATTTAAAGCATTTACTTTTTCAATGTTCTTTGCTCTGTGGCTTATAGGAGTGCTATTTGGGCACAATTTACTTCGCCAATGTCGTGTAGAGTGGAGAATATACTTTAAAGATTGAGCCATTTTCTTTTTTTTTTATTTAAAAAAATAAATGACAGCCTATGTTCTCTGTCAATCTTCCTCATTCTTGATTTTAGTGCTTCGCCGTATTGCACTTTTTCAGGTTATTTAACTGTTTTCTATCGTAAAATATGCCTAAACGAAGGAGTGATAATG